AACAGATCAGCTAAGGACGACGGACTGTTAATGATCCCAGTGGTAGACCAAAATTCTCATAGTGTTAAATGGAAGCTCAAAGACCACTTTATACAAAAATGGTATAGTGATATAGTTCCAGTAAAGGTATTACATACAGAATTTCTAAAAGAAAGTTTGAATGTGAAAAATGCTGAACTATTTTACCAGGAAAATTTAGAAATATCTTTACAAAATTCAGTAACCATCGTCTTCCAATAGAGATGGGTAGATGGAATAATGTTGAAAGAAATGAAAGAGAGTGCTTTTTATGTAACAATAATCAAATTGGAGATGAATTTCATTACTTACTGGAATGTAATGTATTATGAAATATTCGGAAAGAAGTTTTGGTTCAGAAATACTATGTACATCCAAATGTTATAAAATTTTGTAATTTAATGACAAATACTGACCCAGCATTCTCAAGAAATTTGTGTATATTTATCACCAAAATTTTTGACACTGTCTGTCCTCCTGTAATCTCTGCTCGTCCATAATTATTGTAAGTATGTATATATGCACCTCTTGTACCATTCATATAGTTTATTGAGAGAATATGAATGAATGAATTGCTGTATTGTGCAATTGTGCTAGCATTTTATCCTTCATAAGGTTACCTTTATTCAAAAAACTACCTGACCTTAAATTTTGAATATTTATTATAAATCTTATGTTTAATAATAATGAAAATCAAACATATTTAAATCGCCCTTAATAATCAAAATTACCCTAAGCTTAAGGCGCTTAACAAAATAAATTTGCGAATATAAAACTAATGTACATAATATTTTTAAAAAATATACACATACAAGGAAATTGAGAGATAAAAGAAGTAAAATGTTAATCTTTAAGGGGACCAATTTGATGCACCAGATGCATATTTCGACAAATTATGTCTCATCACTGATGCTCATGCCGAAACGTTGGAAATCCGAAATATTTAAAAAAAAAAAAGGAAAAAAAAAGCTGAAAAAGGGGGGTGCCAAAGACTGAAGCCAAATACGATCAGAGCCATGCATGGGGGAGATAATCCTTAATTTTGAAATAAATTTTAAATTAACTGATTGTTACATGAAGCGTTACGATTTTTTTAGAAATGCATAAAAATCATGCTCACACTTTATGGAGTAATAAATTTCTTGTTTCATTCTCGATTTGTGTTCTTTATGTTTGAATTCACAGAAAACTCAGAAAAAATATGACACCCTATGCAGTATTTCACCATATAAGGGCGTGGTAGGACTCTTTTTTTGTTTTGTTTGTTTAACGCCCCTTTCGAAATTTTTTCACTCATTTCGAGACGCCACCACTTGCTGGTGGGGAACTGCAAATTTAGACCTTTAGAATGAGTTTCTAGGACATAAATGTCTACCCTCTGGAAAATCGTCAGTATCTCGAGACGGGAAATGACATCACTAAAGAAAAAAATCAATAAAATTAAGACTTATCAAATCTGAAAGTTTCATGAAAATCGATCTAGCCGTTTTTGAGAACTCGCGTTCACAAATCGGTAAAAAAAAAAAAAAAAAAAAAGAAACCGAACGAAAAAAAAGATCTCTCGTTGGAGAGAAAGACCTTTTCAATTTTTCTTCTATCTCTCTTGCTGTAAGTGGACAAGATGGTACTGAAAGAATTTAATTTCCTTCCTGTTCATTTTTTACCTGCCCTATAGAGGTTTCGTGAAGAATAATCCAAACAATTTAATTTCTTTTCCACTAAGAAGAAGGCATTTGATAACTTCACAAAGCACACAAGACCCAATCGCCAAAGTCTGTTAGGCGTATGAATACAAGATCTACAGTATATACATATTGTTTACAAAAAAGACGTCTGTCATAATGCATCTCATTGTTCATTTAAGTTGATGATCGGATTTATATCTTAAAAAAAAATCAAAAATTGGATTATCTAAACACTTTAGCATTGTGCACTCGGCACAACTGTTCAAATTGCTATCTCTCTCTTCCGGTTATTGTAACTTAACCGATGAATGAGGATTGAATTGAAATCAAAATTGCGGACAAGCAGGGGGATCAAAAAATTTTGATAATTATTTTTCGAAAGATTTTCAAAACATGCAAATGCGTGTTATTCAAAATGTTTACACACTACATCATATGAAAATAATAAATAAATGCTTACGCAACACCAGTGAAAATAAGCCCCAGATAATATGCCCTGAGGAATGTGAGTTGTCTTTTTGTATTTTCTGACGGTGATTTTGGTGATACAGTTAAAACTATGAACCAGGAAAGTTTGGGATAAAAAGTTACTGTCCTCTCACAAATTTACAAATTTACGTCGAACAAATTCTAAATTTGGGAGAGAATATTGGTTTAAGAGGCAATGTTTGGCTGTACTTCAAAAATCAGATTCTCATTTTTTTTTCTAATCTTGTAGAAATTTTGCTTCCTCTTTAACAGGAGGAAGATTTGCAAATTCATGAGCCTTGGAACACGCAATCAAAAATCTACAGCCCGGATACCTCTTCCAAAAACGAATGAAACACAGGTCATCAAAACCTGCAAGCAGCAACAAAAGAATTTTCGGTGAAATTGGAATCGTGAGTGCACAATTCTAAATGCTTTCTTTCAGACAGACAGTAATTAGAACATTTGTGATATTCTTTGTCGATCACAGAATATTGGGGGAGCGTGATATATCAGTGCTTCAAATCTATGTAAACAAGCAGAGAAAAGAAAGGAATTAAATTTTACGTCCGTTTAGTTGGATGACGATGTATCAATTCCTATTCCAGCTGTATACAATGGACGTGGAGATTAGTTTCATCTTATAGGTAAATAAGAACATAGTACAGTTCAAACTGGATACAAGACATATCTGTAAGGAATATTTTCTTGGAATCGGTTTTCACTATCATCTTTACCCAGAGACATCAATAAAGGAACTGAAATAAGTATTAGTTACGCTGCTAACTTCTATCTATTGGGAAAGGACAAGGCTTCAGAAATTTTACCTGTAGAATTGGATGCAGAAAAAAACCCTGTAAAGAGCTATATGCGGTATATGCATATTTTTGCCCCCACAAAAGTCAAATTTTGAAAATTTCTTGAAATGTGCTAAATTGTGTATATTGTCTGAAAAATCCGAATGAACAAAAAATATTATAGATTCGAAGTAGGATATTGGCAATTTTTGTTTCTATGACGTCACAAACTAGTTGGATTGTGTGTCATTTTTCATAAAGAGGACAAAATAGACAAATTTTTTTTGTCAATTTGACAATTTTGACAATTTATAGAGCGCAACCTTGCTCCATAACAATATTCACATATTTCATCGATATTATCATTCTACACATTATATCAAAACATTAAGTTGGAGCAGACCTGCACTCGGTAATTTTACTCAAAATATCGACGTAAAATACACCTTTTCTGTCCATACATTATGGAAATTTTAAATCTACGCCATTTTCCTGATGTCATATCTAACGCATAACGTCATGGCTGCTGAAAATATCTAATGCTTTGAAGTCTGCAGAGACCCCCCCCCCCCCCCCCGTTTTATAACATAATTATATGTTTTTCTGTCGAAGTTTGATTTTCGGGGCAAAAATTTGTCATTTCCGAATAAAGTCCTTTATGTGTGAAAACAAATGCAATGTATATAACTCTAAATGATGTAAAAAGAAAATTCCTGCAAGTTGCTTAGGAAGTAGATTGCAAGATTTTCTTTATATTTATAACACATCTGTTTTTTAAATACGTCCATAATTTCACACATAACATATTCTTAAAATTTATAAACTCGGTTTCTAAAATTTTCAGTAAATTATACACTCTACATATAATTCCTAGCCTTATCAGTATAACATATGTCTCATAAAACAGCCAGGAAATCCATGCATTTACAGAACACTTATGGAAATACATAAAATTCCTGATATCACACACACACACACACACATCTCGGGGATGAAGTGGGTGCCCTTTTATGATGATTTTTTTTTTCGAAAGCTTTGGCACCTAAAAATATGCATTTGCACCTATTGGTTTTGATAAGAAGGATGTCATAGATCACTTTGAGGCCTGCATTCTATATTAAAATTTTTTTCATTTACGGCAGCATTGTTATCTATGGAGTTCATTGTAAATTAAATGTGCTTTTAATTAATAATAATTTCGGTACAGTTTGTATCTTGTAAAATCTAGCGCGCTGTTACTGAATCCTGCATTGCTAACAGACAGGTTCCGCAGGTCGAGAGCTCAACTCCGGATCGGGGAGGAGGATTGTTTCTTTGTACTGTGAATTTCTTTGTGCTTTCTTTTTATGTAGTCACCAGAGTTATACCAATCATTCACCATTTAAAAGGCAATTATAAATAAATAAATATAAATGCGAAAATTCATGAACTGAATATCACTCTGTTGGGTTGAGGTCAGTTTAGAAGCTAAACATTCGGTAAATAGAGCACAGGATGAAACAGCGATAATCTAATTAATGGATCATGGGATAAAACTTATCAAAGTCCTGTCAACTATCCCATAATTAGTGCAGGTTATAGCGACATAATACTAGCCAAAGTACATTCATTTCTCGATTCTTATCGTACACGTATCACCGATCAATAAAATATAACCCGAAAGTATAAAACACGTCAAGTTACACAGAAAATTTAATTTCGGTCCGAGATTTGACACCTATTTAACAAAAATACCAACTTTCGCTAACGCCTGTTTTCCTGCAAGGATTTTCTTTGAAAGGTAACTAATTTTTTTTTCTTTTTCTTTTTTAAAAAAAATGTGCAATGCATTGACTTACGCACCGTGTTGAATATCGACTAACTTTATATATATATATATGTATGCTGCCCTTAATCGTTTTATTACGCATATATAGGTAATGGTAAGATTAGCATATACATGTAGCCCTTAGATTGAGCTATATTAATGTAACTAAAACATCCGATTTGAATTTGATAGGATTCTGCACCAAATCTTCTCTGCGAAGTCTTAATGTATTTCCCGCTTTTGCTGTCATTGTGCATTGTTGCATCATTAGCGGATCCCCCAGGATGGAATTTGTTGTTTGGTACCGACATTTTGAATGAGACTCATAAAGAATCATTAACATTTGATAACCCTGTACCGAAATGGATCAAAGGGTCTCTGGTGAGTATATTAAATATCTTCCATGTTGATTTACAATAGGATATAATTAATCAATTGAGATCAATTAAATATTCATTGTTCATCTGAATGGTCCTTTTGTTTTTCGGTAGATACGTAATGGACCAGCGCGATATGGAATGGGTAAACGCTCGTTTCTTAATCTTTTTGACGGGTTTGGAAAACTGTATTCTTGGCAGTTTCCTGGAAATGGATCAGTTTTCTTCTCTTCCAAATTCCTTCAAAGCGAGTCTTACAATGAATCATTAAGGATGAACGACATTGCACCATACATGTCATTTGATAATCTCAAACCTCCCTTAAGTATCATGGAAAAAGAACTGGCACTGGCCCATGGCATGGACAACATGAACATCAATGTCTACAACTATTCAGGAGACTGTGTTGTTCTTACTGATACCTGGAAGTTGTATGTGATTGACTGCTACACCCTGGACACCATACGACCAAGCAAACCAACCATTCACGGGGCAGATACTGGCCTTCCTTTTATAAGTCTGATGTCTGTGGCACATCCAGTGCGAGAATATGGCACAAATCACCACATTACTATTTTACAGAGTCTTAGCATTCTACCCGGATTACCTCATAAATTTACTCTTGTCCGAACAAAGTCTGCTGATACTCGGGAGAAAATTGCGGAATGGAATGTCAAAAAGATGCCTTATTTACACTCTATCTCAATTACGGAACGGTACGTTATTATCTTTGGGTGTCCTTTTTACATAAATATGGAGAAAATGTTACAGTATACTGTTCCCAAAGATAGTATTCTGTTCCATAAAGACGAACCTACCGTTGCATATATAGTCGAGATTAAGACGGGAAAAGTGGTCACTATTGAAACCGAAAACGTTTTTACAATGCATCATGCCAACGCCTATGAACTAGACAATAATAACATTGTATTGGACATTGTATCATATACTGACGCTTCTCTTGTCACATTCTTTGAAATGGATAATTTAAATAACAAAACGCGACGAGATGGTGTCCCATTTAAACCTTCTCTAAAAAGGTACAAAATTGACTTGAAAGCAGGAAAAATGACATCCGCTTCTTTCGATGTTAATCCTAAAATTCCTCATGTTAACACGTTGGAGGTCCCTACCATAAATGAACATTACAGATCAAAACATTACTGTTACATTTATGGTGCTGTTTTCAAAAGTGATTTTAAGACATGGGGAAATTTTTCGTTTGTCAAGAAGGATATTTGCAACTCTACAGGCGACTTGTCTTGGTCTGTTCCAGGCCATTATCCGATGGAGGGGTGGTTTGTTCCGGATCCAAACGGATCAGCTGAGGACGACGGAGTGTTAATGATTCCAGTAGTAGACGGAAATTTGGGCAAAAGTTATATTGTAATTCTGGATCCGAAGACAATGAAGCCTATCACTAAGGCTTATTTACCTATCATTGTTCCTTTCCATTTTCACGGACGATTTATTGAAAATGTGTACTAAGATGTTTTGACCTAGGGTTCACTCGTGCTAGCATTAATACATCAAATCTTTAGCTCTCTTAAGGTAATCTTTAATCTTAGAAATACTTGACGTTAAATTTTGAATGTTTATTATAAATCAATGATAATTAATAATTTTAGAGCGTGTTAAATAATGAACATAACCCTAAGCTTAAGGCTTTTAACAACATACTTATGCAAATATAAATGTACACAGTAATTTAAAATACACATACATGTACACAAACAAATCAACACAAGATTAAAGATAGTAAAAACAAAAATGGACATTATAGAACATTGTGCCAGTATTGATAACTTCAAGGTGCCGAGCGCTTGGGCAGGAAACAGTTGCTTCCAATTTTTTGATCGACTTAGGTCAGTCGCAGCCGTGGTTTGTACCCCCGATCACAGCGAGCGACTAAGCTAAAGTGACGGTATATTCAAAAATGCTTGTGAGTCCAGGCAATAAAGCATTTTCATTATCTTTTAAATAGGAGATGTTCAATTTCAGATATCCTTCATATATATCTGGCCATCGTTCAAATTGTTCGAATTTGTAGATGTATGCATATATAAATATATATCATAAGTGCGTGGATACTACATATTAGATAAACCTATGCTTTATCCAAGGGTATGCTTTATCAATTACACTTCCGGTTTTAAAACAGTCTTTCTCGTCAAGGTGTAAATTTCTCGAAAGTTCTTGCGTTACGAAATGAATTATAATGAGCGAAAATGTTCGTTAAAACAAGAACAAAATCATTATACCTTGATGAAATGTCAAGTTTAAAGAATGCATGAAATACGGAAATAACGAACAGTAATCAAGCTCAAAAGACCATTGAAACAATACAGAGCAAACACGGATCTCTAAAAGCATCAGATGTGGGATCAGATGCCATGAAGGAGTAAGCATCCCCTGTCGACCGGCCACACCCGCCGTGTGCTCCTTAGGGAAGTTGACGATAGAAAAGTTGAAGTCATCACATTTATAATAAAGTTTTATTGTTAGATTACCAATAACGTCTTTTTCTATAAAATATTTAAACATGTAATAGATGTGTCAGACTCTGTGGTATCTTATATTTCAAGTTTACTGAGATATATGTATATCGAGTCACATATGACTGGAAGTAATAATTGTTAATTGATAAATATTTACATCTACTGAATATTTTCTCCTTTACTTCTAAAGAAAACCACTGCCGTTTATCAGTTCATGAACAACACTAGGCATATCACCTGTACAGATTTCTTGATCAGTGGCTGTTCCATCAATGAAACGTACTATGATGTACATATCAATAATACAATAATCAATCTTTTTAATCCTACTTTAAATGATTATTTATACAGATATAAATATAAACAATAAAATGTCTTTCTTTGGTTGTTAGTTCGGGAATTAACGGCTTACGTGGTTTATGTATTTTTTCTGCAACAGCTGCGACATTAATTCCCGTACTTACAACCAAAGAAAGCGTTCTATTGTTTAATACGTCGTCGATTTATCTAAATGTCAAGTTCAAGGCCACAGAAAGCGTTTTTTCTTCTCATGTAGAAGTTTCTGAATAAGTTCTGCTTCATATGAATATAAAAGTAGGTCTGTTAATAAAGGGGTGCAATCGGTGCCCATGGAAATTCCGACAGATTATCGGAAGACTTGATCTCCAAAAATACATAGATATTGTGAATCATTAACTCAAGCATCTTTTTAATATCAACTTTGGAGTACTTTTTTGTACAATCAGAATGTTTTCTAATAAACTAATTTTGTAAATGACCATTAACAAGGTAAGTTAATTTACGAGTTCCATTTTTATTGAAAAAGCAACTGTCTATAAAATCAAATAGCCTGGACTTTAATTTATTGCGGGGAATGGTTGTATAAAGTGTTGAAAAGTCGTACGTTTTTATATTATTAATTTTGATTTTAAAAAGTTTGATTTCAAACTTTCTAAAAGTATCCAAATCTGATTTACACCACTTCTCGAGTATATTGTTGTAGAGTACTCCCGAGGTTTCTCCTTCACTGCTGTTAATATTTTAATGAGGAGTTAAGAAGAGGCTTGGTAGAACATTTAGTGGAACCCTCTGTGTCTTTCTTTGTGAGGATTTTTATGTAGTTTAGGAATCCAGTATAGGTATGGTAATTCAAATTCAATTTGATTGTTGGAAGTATTAAAAATATTTAAAACTGACATATGATTTTGAAGGATTTCCTCCTTAGAAAGTGAGCTATTGGTATCAGTTGGATTACCAATTGAATTGAATCCCAGCTCTAAAATATAATTCAAATTATTAGCCTCAAAAATAAGGACAATGTTGTTACCTGCTTTGTCAGCTCCGACAGGTACATATTGATCGTATAGTATATCTAATGTTTTTTCCCCTTTTGAATTATTGAAGACAGAAGGATAGATGGTTTTCATATTGTCCCTCAATCACTTAATGCGAGATTTCAACATCCATCTGATACTTTTCATTCGTTCTGACAAAGTGTCAAGTTTTTTTTTATGTTTGGCCTATAGCCTGGCGTAAACTTCCACAGAATTCATAATAATTATGAAATTAAGTCGAATGATCGGGGTACCCTAAATTGTGGCCCTTTTAAAATAAGTGATTTAAGATCCTCATTATTAACTATATTTACGTCACCGGGAATGGCCTGTCCAGCAGGACTATAGTTGTAGGGTGAAGAAGAACATGAACATCTTGTAGGATTATGTTTCAGATGCTCAATATCTAGGTAGAGTTTTTTTATAGTAAAAAACAAGATGTGTTTGTGAAACACTGATGCCCCCGTATGGCAGCTTATGGCGAAGGTTAAAGTTTCTCAAATGCAAATCAAAATCCAGGCCAAAAGATAAAAAATGTAAAATTTGAAAGCCCTAGCTGCAACTGTTCAAAAGTTATGGCGAGGGTTAAAGTTTTTTAAAAGTAAGTAAAACATCAAGATCAAGGTCAAAGTTGTTGGTATCCAAAGGAAGGTCTTGTCACAAGGATTACATATGTAAAGTATGAAAGCCCTAGTACCAACCACTCAAAAGTTATGGCCAAGGTTAAATTTCTTCGAAAGAAGGTCAACTCCTATGTCAAGGTCAAAGTGGTTGGTATTCAAAGGAAGGTCTTGTCACGAGGATTACATATGTGAAGTATGAAAGCCCTAGCATCAACCATTCAAACTTTATGGCCAAGGTTAAAGTTTTTCAAAAGTAGGTCAAACTTCTAGGTCAAGTTCAAAGGGTCAAAGTGGTTGGTATTCGAAGGAAGGTGATGTCACAAGGATTACATATCTGAAGTATGAAAGCCCTAGCATCAACCATTCAAAAGTTATGGCCAAAGTTAAAGTTTTTCAAAAGTATGTCAAACTCCTAGGTCAAGGTCAAAGGGTCAAAGAGGTTGATATCCAGAGGAAGGTCTTGTCACAAAGAATACACATGTGAAGTTTGAAACCCAAGCACCAACTGTTCAAAAGTTGTGGCCAAGGTTAAAGTTTTTCAAAAGTGGGTCAAACTCCAAGGTCAATGGAAAAGGGTCAAAGTTGTTGGTATCCAAAGGAAGGCCTTGTCACAAAGAATACACATGTGAAGTTTGAAACCCCAAGCACCAACTGTTCAGAAGTTATGGCCAAGGTTAAAGTCTCATAAAATTTTGCAAAAGTGGGTCAAACTCCAAGGTCAAAAGGTCAAATATGATGGTACCCAGAGAAAGGTCTTGTCACAAGGAGTACACATGTGAAATATGAAAGTCATAGCTCCAACCAATCAAAAGTTATGGGCAAGGTTAAAGTTGACAACAGATAAACAGACAAACACACAAACAGACAAACAGATAAACAGACAAACAGACAGACAGGACAAAAACAATATACCCCCGGGATCTTTCGATCCGGGGGCATAAAAAATTGGAAGCAATTGTCGATGTATAATTGTAAGAAATACAAGTTATGGACTTCGACTTGAAATATAGTGGAATACAGACTGGATCCTTTCGTGATTAAGAACATTACTTATATTAACCATGTCAATTCCTTTGTTGGCAAATTGAAGTTAAAGGAACAAACGGGTTGTTTAAGGAGTATTTTTTCATTGAAGGTGGTGGTGTTAAAAGCCAATGAAATACAAAATCCATAATCACAGATCCGAACTTGTATTTTGGTGTCGAAGAATCCACATGTGGACTTTACTTGACTTTTTCAACTAGGCTATCTAAAGCTTTCAAAAGAACAGAGTAAAGTTTGGTGCGAATGTGATGAAGACCTAACTGTTTATTAATATAAGGTAGTAGTGAATCGAAAGATGCATCGTGTATAATAGGTTTATTATAAGACCGACGTCCGTGACTACGCTTACGTCTCTGTGTATTGTTAAAAAGTCCCATCACATTCAAATTTCTACCCTATGGACTTGAAAGATTCCCAACACTATCGACATATTGTCATTGCTATCATATGGTTAGGCCATGCCTAGTTTCAGTATCCAGTATTCTTCTCGTTGTCTACTGAAAGGTGTACTAAATGATGGGCTATTAGTATGATGGTATTTTTTTTTTTTTTTAGAATTTTAACTTTCATTGACTAAATAGACTGATCAGGTAAAATAAAGTGCTTATAGAGAAGTTGGTTGCCCCCGTTGTTAATTTGGAATCTATGCCCCGAAATTCTGTTATTAAGTGAACCATTGGTTTCACCAAAATAAATAAGCCCACAAAGGGTACATTCTATTCCGTAGACAACATTAGATTTGCATTTTAAAATTTCCTAAGTTTTGGTATGGAAGCTCTGTCCAGTACGAATACTAGTAACAGCGCAGCTTGTAATCAAAACATCACAGTTTTGACATTTTGGAATAGAAGACATGGGTCAGAAAGCAATCTTCAAATATATTCCTGCACTTTCTTGTATAAACTGTAAGCTTAACGAAAATTCACCATTTCAACTCATTGGATAAAGCAAATATAATATCACACAATATAGATATGCTCTCTCTCTCTCTCTCTCT